ATTTTCTTCTCGATATGCTTAATGGGTGGAACTACAAGTTACAAAATTATAAGTCAAAAACAATCATCAAGATTTTGTTAATTCCACAATGAAGGATCGGAACTCACTCACTCCATATGTTCTTACCTAGCGTTGCTACGGCCTTCCACAAAAGCAAATAAAGCAGACGAAGTGGGAGAAAAACCATCCACATTTGAGATCTTATCAATCCACGTACCCAAAAAAATGTAAACACCGGAACTGCATGCGTATGCACAATCAAATGCATAAAACATTAGGTTCTTTTAAGACCACCCATGCATGCATGCATAAATCTTTCAACATCCAACTCAACCAGGCATCAAATGCATTTGACATAGTTAGGCTGCTGTTTACCTCTTAAAAAGAGCTGGCGATGGCTCCCCAATACCCACCCGCTCCTCCGCCACCATAGGCTTGATGATTGAGCCAACCAAAAATCTTGGTCGAGTTTATCATCAAAAGCTTAAAGAGAAAAAAAAACACCCGTAAAACCGATTAAGAAATAAAATATCTAAATACATTAGTATGTATCGATCGGGGGCGGGGGGCTTAATTAGAAACTTACTATACAGAGAGGTATGTGTGGGATAGATAAGTGTTTCCCAGTAGTTTAGTTCATTGGGAAAGGTCCTAGCTATAGCCATCAATACTCGATCACTTTCCGTACAGAAATCAGGAAACGTCTTGATTAAGTCATATGCTGTACCTGCAAAGGAGTGTGAATCTGTATATATGTCTCTGGGGGTTATAATATATATATATATATATATATATGCACTCACTCACTGTATTGTTTTGCAGTAATGGCATTGACAAGAAGGCTGGCTCCCTTTTTGGAGCCTTGAGAAATGACCAGCTGCTTGGCTTTGTCATTATCGACGGCGACTTTGAACAAATATGCAAAGGTATCAAATTGCATATTGTTAAAAGCTTTAATCAATGGGTCTTGGTCATTTTTGTCTCTAATTGTCAATAGGTCCTTGTGCTGATCAACCAACAGCTTCATTGCATGTTTGTTACCAACACTTACCGCAACGTGAAGGGCCGTGCTTCCATCCGCATTTTTCTGTTCAAGTATTTCTTTTTCTTCTTCCTTTTTTTTCATAAACAGTAACAACTCTTCGACTATATCGTTTTGACCCTTTTCAACCACCATGTGAAGCAGTGTGTTCCTGTGACCCCATGTATCATCTTTCAATGCATTCTTATCACTTTCCAATATCTTTATTATTTCCCGCCAACTCCATTCCGATGTATCCTTAGACAACATCCATTCCGATGTATCCTCAGGCCCTGGGCGAGATGTAAAAAGAAGTACGATAGTTTTTCAATATATTGTTTTTATCATAAAAAATAACATTGAATTCATATAAAACCGTTTTTCCGAGTATTCCTTGACGCAAAATCAATCAGTACTCGCTTCTAAATTAATATTATCTACTAGAACATTTTTAGTAGTATCGGTAATTTGTTTCATTATCAAAAACATCATATGATATACTTTTAGTACATAGAATGACATCATTTGGGKTCACAAAGTCGATTTTTTTGATTTTCGAATGACACTATATATGTAAATCAATGTAAATAGGTTGGTTTTCCATGACATCTCATGTTAATGTTTTTTAACATCATTTTAAACTTTTATATTAAGTTTTCAAATTTGGAAGGAAAGAAAAGAATGAGAAAGGAAAAGAAAAATAAAAGAAAGGAAGAAAAATAAAGTTTTTTTATTTGTGTTTTTAGTAGAGAAGAAAGAGAAGAAAGAGGAAGGAAAAATAATGAAATAAAAATAAATTTTGATATAATTTTTTTTCCTTTCCCTAGAAAAAAGAAAAATCTCGATAACATAATATTTTTCTTGCCTCATTATTTTTATCTATTTCCTACATAAAAGAAGACTAAAAAACATAGGGTTAAGGTTAAAACAAACTTTTCTGGAATAATCCATTATATAAATTAAAAAACTCATGTTAGTGATAGTTTGAGATCTCATTCTTCTTTTAGAGATAGAATATTACATAAGATTTATACACTTAATATTAGATAATAAAGAACAACTATGAAAAAACAATTATAATTTTATTATTCTAAATATAGATATAAGTTGTACCGTCTTATATGGATGATATTTTTTTTTCAAAAAATGGGGGTTTTGTTAGCTAATAATAAGAAAATCTATCATATTCTAATATAAAAATAGAATTCACGTAATAATGGAACAATCAAAAGAATCGATGGAAGATAAGTTATGGAGAATATATCAAGGTTTTCGAAGCAAGTAGTTTTAGACGTTGGTTTTAGAATTAAAAAAAAACTTAGAAAAACATTAAATAATATTATATAATGAACGACAAATTAATCTCTTTAGGGACGGCCCTGCTTCCACACGCATTCTTTTTGCTTTTGATGAGATTGCATATTTACCAGCTTCTATGTCTTTTGAAATCGCGTCTTTGCTTTCGGTTTCTATCTCTTCTGGACCTACAACATGTATATATATATATATATACATGTATATATATATATACATGTATATATATATATATATACATGTATATATATATATACACTAGAAGCGTACTCGCGCAATGCAACGAGATACATT